GGAGGGTGAGTGGGTGAAACAGGAGAGTTGGATTGGGTTAGGTTTCCCCTATTTAATAATAGTGATTATTTCGTATTATACAGTGCATTTCCCAAGCGATTTATTCTATTTCCATTTACATTTAAGAATTCATTAATTTTCTATCTATTTATTATCCTTATATTAAAATTAATATTTAAATCTTAGTTTTTAGCTTAGATGCAAAGCTGAGAAGGTATTAATTTTACCATGATATGTATATTTAATTATTTTTTTTTTTTGTGTCTGTCGCTACTTTTTCTCAGCTCTCACTGGACCGATTTTTTTTAACGATACGACAAAAGATCACAAATCGTATCTTGTTGAGGATAATACCCTCAAAAATTGAAAAAAAATTCTTTCGTTACCTGTAAATTGGGGAAATTCCTCAAAAAATTCTGATTTTTAAAATCGGTAAATTTCGACATTTTTTCTTTTAACTGCCATTTTTGAAAAATGAACAAATCAAAATAACCTTAAATATTTTCCTTTCATTTGATATAATTTTTTTGAAAATCTGATCCTTTACCTGACTACAGGAAGATTTTCAAAATACCATTTTTTTTATAAAAGTAGAATTTTACTTTTAAAATGTTCCGGAAAAACTGCGTCTTTTAAATATATGTTGAATTAAAGTTTATTTATGTACTAAAAGTAAAAAAAAAAATTGTACCGACGACCTATTTTCTATGTGCAATTGGCCGTCGAAATAAAACAAAAAATAAGAGTTTATTTTGCTTTTAGAATAATCCACCAATTTCTCCAATAACTTCAATAAATATCAAGGATTCCATTACTGTAGTCTCCTCTCGTGAGAAGAAATTCATATTAATATTATTTTACAATGTGGTTTTTTTTTGTAGCTATCATTTATTTTCTCAGCTCTCATTTGACCTTAATTTTTGACAAATTTTTTTTTTTTAATTAAACACTATCTACAGATTTGCACCAAACCGTGTTTCTTATGATAGTGATTTTCATCACTGTCAGATATCATCTATACTTCTCCCAACTATGCCACGTCCATACTGTACTACCTTAATATAAAAGTATTCTACACTATATTTATAAAAGATGAATAGACATTTTTATAAGGAACAAAACGTTTTTGTTGTATAACTAATCTATTATTCAACTTTATTAAATCAAAAAAAGTAACTTATATTTTGATTAGTAAATTTTATTTTAACGAACCCACCTAAGTGGGAGAGAATAAATGATTTAAGTTTTGCCAGTCTTTAAAATTTTTTTTGGTAAAATATTCTACTAAAATTTATTGTCTTCTACTAGTAATTTAAGTATATAAATGTATATTTTTAATTATTAGTTGATGGAGCTACAACACTTGCTATGATTTTGAAAATCGTTTCAAATCATTCATATTCAGAGTCTGGAGTAAGTAAAATTATTGACATAAAATTATTAGATTCTTCCTTTATGCATTATAAAGCAATCAACTTTTAGTTTCGATGCGAAACTGAAAGGTATTAACTTTACTAAGATGTGTTTTTTATGTCTGTCGCGATTATGAAATAAAAAACCAAAATTAAATTTTAAACAAAAAGAATAAAATATTTTGAAGGTTAGTATTCAATATTTTATTGTAGTTTGAAATTATACTGTTTCGATAATTTTCGATATTTTTTAAACTTTGTTTTCTTAAATCTGTCATAAATTTTTGAAAAATGAACGAATCAAAATAACCTTAGATATTTTCCTTTCATTTGATATAAATTTTTTGAAAATCTGACACTATCCACAGGGTAAGATTCAAAATAGCAAGTTTTTTACAAATGTCAACATTTTCTACTTAACTTTTGTTAAAATTTTCGGGAAATACTGAAACTTATATATATATATATCTTAAATTAAAGCTTATGTTAAAGATCATAGTATCAATGACTACGTTATTTAAAAATATGTTATTTTTAACACGCTTATATTAGTTTCACATGTATGTTATGTGTTGTGAGTTGTGAGTTGTTTGTAACTTTCCACACGCACGTGTAAATAAATTTTTATTTTTGGTTTTCGTACCCGTATACGCGTGCGTGTTATCAATTATACAGAGTGGCCCACCACTCACTGACAACTTAAATAACTTTTGATCCAGTTAATATTTTTAGCTGATTTTTTTTTTAAATATTAGTTAGACGTTAGGTCTATAGCTATATCTCAATAATTAATTTTTTTACATTTTATTAAAAATATTAATTATTTTTAAATTTTAAATAAAAAGTAAAAAAAAAATCTAAGATAGCTATTTTGTAGAGTAGAATTTAAGAAAAATTTTAGTAAAAAAATATCTTATTAATATTCAGTAGTAAATATTCTGTAGCGTTTTGAAGTTTGTGAAAATTTGAATTTTCATGTACTATTTTACGGTATTAAACATTGAAATACGTATTGAGAAAAGGACAGAAGAAAACGCTATCTTTTCATGATTACTGTGTATACATATGATGATAGTGTGTATACATTACAAACTTGGCATAAATACCATGATAAGAAATTAGATAAGGCAATTATTACTTATCACTCTCATTCAAAAGTATATTGAAAAGATAGCGTTTTCTTCTGTCCTTTTCTCAATACGTATTTCAATGTTTAATACCGTAAAATAGTACATGAAAATTCAAATTTTCACAAACTTCAAAACGCTACAGAATATTTACTACTGAATATTAATAAGATATTTTTTTACTAAAATTTTTCTTAAATTCTACTCTACAAAATAGCTATCTTAGATTTTTTTTTTACATTTTATTTAAAATTTAAAAATAATTAATATTTTTAATAAAATGTAAAAAAATTAATTATTGAGATATAGCTATAGACCTAACGTCTAACTAATATTTAAAAAAAAAATCAGCTAAAAATATTAACTGGATCAAAAGTTATTTAAGTTGTCAGTGAGTGGTGGGCCACCCTGTATATATATATATATAATAAATTTTTATTGTGATTGACACGGCCCGTGTCGCTTCGTTATACACGATGCTCCACGACTCGTGCCACCTTTATCATCCGTCGCCCTATTTTATGAGTATTTGACTGACCAACACCGCGCGTTATACGCCGCGGTGCAAAGTCCAGCAAGTGCCGCACGGCCGACGACGTCCCGACCCTAATGATACCGTAGTCTTCTTCTCAATATAAATTTAATATTGAAATTTAAAATATTATGTTGAAAATAATTTACCCGTCATTGGTAAACATGTGAGCGCGGCGCTCACACAAATAGCATTTTAAATGACAGTCACATAAATGTTTGTTATTTTGCTTGATTCTCTTATTACCTTCAAATAAAAGCTTACCAATAATTACAAAAAAAGCCGCTATCTGTATTTCCTCAAGAGTTTTCAGTGTGCAAAGTTGACTGTACCGATAAAGTGAGCGTCGCTTTCACAGTTTATCAACTTCATATTATTTTAATTGCTTATACGTTTATTTTTTTTCAAAATAATGGCCTATAAAGTTTTATCTTCGTTGGAGANTCAAAATAATGGCCAATAAAGTTTAATCTTTGTTGGAGAAGACTGTAGAACAGTTTTTAGAAGACTTATGTCAACCCAAGTGTTGACCCCGTCCAATTTTTTGAAAATGAATCGGGCAGTGACATTTCTGAACCTGCGCCTGGTACTCACAATACCAGTCGCATAAATAATAAAAATACTAGTATTTTACAAAAAATATTTTACCAATTGGTAGTGAGCAAAATGATACTTTTTTATGTATGATTTAATTTTTTGAGTTTATCGAGTAATTAATAATAAAGGAAAAAGTAACGTGTGAGCGCGGTGCTCACAGTTTAGCAATCGTGATCCGTAACATAAGTTTACCAACGACGGGTTAAAAAATTAAAAATTACATAGACAATAATAACATCAGTTCTTTAGATTAAATCTTAAGTCTACTTTATAATGTTTTATGATGTATTAGATTAAATAAAAAACAAATAACGATATTATTTTATACCTACTAATACTATGTTTAAACTTAAAAAATTACATGTTATAACTTGTCGGTAAGTACGTAAAAAAATATATTCAGTCATTAGTTTTAATATCAAATTGTTTAATTTTAGTATTTACCTAAGTACTACAAATGATGTCTAAGACGTTGATTTTCTCTGTCACCGAATAATAGGATCGTCTTAAAAATGATAATTTATAATCAGCAAAGTTAACGTAGTTCCGCCACTGAACAAGTTAAATACATTTCGAGTAACGCATCGCCGCCTAACAGCGATAAGAAAATATATTTTTATAAATAATTCTCGTATTGACATCAGATAACGCATATACACAACACAAAACACGTTTAAAAATATACTATAGTCTATACCCTTATCGGTTCGTTTTCGTGGTGAATATTAGAATAATAATATTTCAATATCTCATGTTTTTGTTTACTTGAAATGTTACAAAATGCATTGCATCTAATATTTCTATGATTAATACAATGAACTAATTTTTTTATTAAATAAGATAAATAATTAAAAATTNTTTTTTTTTTTTTTTTTTTTTTTTTGTCTGTATACGCTCAATCTCAGCTCTCACTGAACCGATTTTGATAAAAAACATGTCAAAAGATCACAAATCGTATCTGTATTCAACTATTACCCTCAAAAATTGAAAAAAAATCCCTCGTTCCCCGTAAACGGGGAAAATCCCCCAAAAAATTACAAAATTAAAAATCGCTAATGTTCGATATTTTATCATTTTTTTTACTTAAAATTGCCATAACTTTTTTAAAAATGATTTAATCAATATAATTTTTTTTTTTATAGATACCTTAGATATTTACCTATCATTTTATATATTTTTTTATAAATTTGACCCTTTCCCTGCCCATAGAAGGGGATTCAAAATGACAACTTTTTCACAAAAAATTAACTTTTTCAACATAACTTTGGAAAATGTTCCGGAAAGACTGACACTTTTATATATATCTTAAATTAAAGCTAATGTAATATACTTTAACTTGAAAAAAAAAATTTCACCTCTGGACTTGTCATCATGGTGAAAATGACTACCGTATGCAAAATATGCTATTTTTTTGAAAAAATTCTTGATATTATATTTTACATTTTTTAACATTATGATGCTATAACTTTTTAAAAAATGCATGAATCAATTCTATTTTTTAACAATAAATACTTTATAAAAAACCTCTTTCATTCGACGTCNGATAAATACTTTATATATACTTCTTTCATTCGACATACTTTTTTTTAAAATCGGACCATTTCCCTTTATACAGGGGGGGTGCAAACCTTTTAAAATGCGTATAGAAAGTAGAACTTTTTCAACTCAACTTTTGAAAATGTTCCGGAAAGACTGACACTTTTATATATACAGAGTGATTTTTTTATCATAACCCACTCAATTAATTGGAGAATAAAAATAATTTAAACATTTTTTTTTTTCATTATCTTTAGTTACACATTATTCTTGAATTATTAACTATGTATTACTTTTTAAGTTCATCCCTTATGCCTTGGAGGGGGGTCAACTTTGTTTTTTTAAATGGTAACACATATTTTTAATTTAATAAAATGTTTGAGTTTTTAATTTAATAGTAAATGGCATTTGAATTTTTAATATAACTTTATTAGTTTATTAGATATAAACATTTAAAGTTTCAAAATTTTGAGTTAATATACATGTATAATACACATGGGATTGTAAATACAGGTAGCTAATTGATTTTTTTATGATATTGCTATCATAGTCACGGATTGTTTATTATCTATTATGACTATCAATAGATATACATTCTGTATTGTCAGTTAGTGTATTTATAAACTCACAACAATGTGTCTTACTACCATTGATAATAACAATGCTTTGTACCTGCTAATATCGATTTTATAAAAATCCAATTAGCTACCTGTATTTACAATCCCATGTGTATTATACATGTATATTAACTCAAAATTTTGAAACTTTAAATGTTTATATCTAATAAACGAATAAAGTTATATTAAAAATTCAAATGACATTTGTTATTGAATTAAAAACTCAAACATTTTATTAAATTAAAAATATAAGTTACCATTTAAAAAAACAAAGTTGACACCCTTACCAGGCATAAGGAATGAACTTAAAAAGTAATACATAGTTAATAATTCAAGAATAATGTGTAACTAAAGATAGTCATAAAAAAAAAATTTTTAATTATTATTATTCTGCAAGTAATTGAGTGGGTTATGATAAAAAAATCACCCTGTATATTAAATTAAAGCTTATGTAATACACTTTAATTTAAAAAAAAAAATTTTGACCTCTGGACTTGTCTTCGTGGTGAAAACGGACATCTAAGTTAAAGAAAAATGTACGATTTCCGTGAAAAAATTCTCGTTTTTATAATATTATATTATATTATTTAAT